ACCTTTTCAATTTAACGTAATAGAAATTATCCATTTTATACCTAACTTTCTTATTTTCTTATATTTAACTCTATTCCATTTACTCTAAAGTTCAGCAATAGTGGCCGTCTTGCCATTCCTCCCTCATGATACTCCATCTCCTGACTGTGCTCGTCTTTTATGGCTGTCCTCCATGCCTAGAATGCTTTCCCTCCTCATCTCTTCTGTATTCTCTGGCCTGTTATGATAGCTAGCTCAAATCCCACTTGCTGCATGAAGCCTTTCCTGGTGCTCTCCTCCAACCTCCTTTGCTAGTAATTTCCCTCTGAGACAATTTAAACTGCACATATGTTGTCTGTGCATAGTTGTTTATCCTTTGTTTCCCCAAGTAGGTTGTGAGCTCTTTGAGTGCAGGGACCAGGTTTTTGCTTTTCATGGTATCTCCTGTGCTTAACAGCATGCTTGGCACATAGTTGGTGTTTAATATCTACTTGTTGATTGATTGCAACATAGAGAATTTTAGAGTTTCAAAGAGCTCCAAGTTTTGGGGCCCTTACCCAGAATCATGGTTAAGGTTTTGTTCTATTTCTGTGTCATGAATCCCCTTGACATTCAGGTGAAATCTATGGATCCCTTCTCAGAATAACAGGTTTACAAACAAGCAAATAAAATAAAATTTAGAAATAAATCAATTATGTTCATATACAGTTATAAAGATATTAAAAAAACACACTGACCTCAGGTTAAGAACCCTTGGACTAGTACCACTTGCTACAAATTTTTTCCTGCAGCACTGGCAAATAATCAGAAAGACATCTGCACGTAATTCCACGTATTCCTCACTTCTTTTCCATCTAAAGTCTTTCCCCTGATTCCCCTGAACAGCTCCTTTTCTCCCAAGATCACAAAGATTTTTAAGGATATAATATATAGGCAGGAAAGGCAAGACTTATATGTTGGCCCATGTTCCTGGTTTGGACTTGGAGCCCTCTTGCTTCCAGTTGTTTCCAAGGGGTTGATCCAGCCAGGTTCTGGATTCTCTGGTATACATGGAAGTGGAAGCCTTGGAAGAGAGAGGGACCTTGGACAGCTCTTATTTTCCCTCATTTTTCATATACTACTGACAATGGCTCAATAATCACATGAAACAATATTGAAAAAACATTTATTAAAGTCTACTATGTACCAGGAGCTGTGATACTCCCGGGGGATGCAGTAACAAACAATGAAACAATCTCTGCTATTCCAAGTATTTTCAGGGTCCTTACTAGCTACTGTCCAAAAGAGCCAGCATGAGATGCAGACACAGAGAGAAACTGCAGTTTATTCACTCAAGAATGCAACACACACCATTAGTAGGTAATGAATGTGTCTCACAATTCTGTAGATCATATATACAAATGTATATGAGTATTTACCTAAGTGTGTGTATATTTTATATATAAAAATGTATGTATATAGGTACACATATTTTTACACACACAAACACATACACATACACATACAGACACTTTCCTCCTGAGCTATATGAGCCAGAGAGAATGATGCCTTCTTACAAAGCAATTTTGGTAAGAGCAGGTACAACAGGTAGGCAGGAAAAAGTATTTAGTATTTAATAGAACAAAAGGGATTAGTTATGACTTATTATGGAGGAAAAATGTATTGTTGTTAACAGAGCCATTTACAAGAGACCAAAGAAAACAGCTCCTGACTTCCAGTCAGTCTATATATATTTGTTAAGGGTCTACTATTTGCTATTGTAGATAGGCTGTAGAGAAGAGAGGGACTTCCTCTTTGAAAGTCTTGTGAGTTTTGTTGTCTTAAAGTGATTAGGGCAAAGGGAGGAATTGAAGAAATTTTCAGTAGTGTCACAGAGGCATCACACACACCCACAAAAGGAAAGTAGGAAATGCAAGAAAATATGGAGTCAGTTACATTCTCTTCGCAATTCACCTTCCACATTGCCTTCAAGAGATTTACAGTCTACGGGGGAGACAACATGCCTGGAGTCAAGAAGACATGAGTGAAATATGGCCTCAGACACTTACTAGCTGTGTGGCCTTGGGCAAATTACTTATCCTCTATTTTTCTCAGTTTTCTAAACCATAAAATGTGAATAGTAATACAGCCTACTTTCCAAGGTTGTTGTGACAATCAAAGGAGATAATACTTATAAAGTGCTTAACATAGCTCCTGGCACATAACAGTCACTATATAAATGCTACCTATTACCACTACCACCACCACCACTACTACTACTACCATTACCACCACCACCACTATTACTACTACTACCACTACAACTGGTTGGTTGGTTGTTGTCCTTCATTCCTGAAGAGGACCAAAATGACATGACTATGTTGGAGACAAGGCACAGTGTGTCCGGCTGTGGCTGATCAGACCAATACAAGCTCAGAAGGCTCCAACATAGGTCAGGTACAAATGGTCTACATGAACATTTGGAGTGGAAGGTAAGAAATGGTAAAAAGGTATAGGTGATGTCTTTTCATTAGTGAATAAATTGGATTTAAGTGAGGTACAGTTGTGAGAAGTCATCGACCTCAGTCTCTCTTCCTGAGTCATCAAAGTCCTAGGGCAAAGCAAAGTCAAGATGACATCTTGGGATGCAGTGGATGACTTTGGCATCTTTGATATCTAACTAAGCTCTAAACATTCTACAGAACCTGTTTCAACCACCTTCATAGCTTTTGGAACAAATTGTTCTCATCTGCTCATTCCACTGGGGGAAGTTCACCCCCCAACTCACCCCTTGATTATCCTCAACCTGGTTTAGCCCATCATTTGAAAAGGTTTGCCAGAGTGTGACTGCTATGCATGCTACAGCTTCTTGGAGCCACAGGTGACAGTTGAGTGAAGCAGTTTGACACCAAAGGTGGAAAGCAGCCCTGAAAAGAGCTTGGCAGCTCTCATACCAGAGGTACTAATCTTTCCTGAACACACCATACACCCGTACTATTCTGATGATGATGATGATGATGATGATGATGATGATGATGACAAGGACAACTACGACTGTTGTTAATTTACAAAGGTTAGTATATGCAGAATGAATACCAATTAAGTAAATAAGAAATCCCATATACCAGTTCTTTTATAACTTGAAACCCTAGTTGAACTAAACCAGATAACTTGAATTCATCTGGACCAGGACATGTGGTCAGATATCCTTTAGGTGTAGCCCAGTATCTGGCATGTAATAAGCACCTGATAAATACATTTTGATTGATTACTAATTTGATTTGACCTATTATTCTTGCCTGTCAAGTATATAATTGAGACCTTTCCTTCTAGCAGAGGGGCAAGGAATGCTTGCTCTGGTTAGCTGAAAGTGTTTCCAGCAAAACAAACTTCTGAGAACTAAAATCTTTGTCACAAAGTTCTTTCCCTCAAGAGTATTGAGTGCAAAGTCACAGAGGGGGACTTAGGGGAAGGAAAGGTGGGAGGGCAATTAACTCTGTTTGTTTTCATCTAACAAGGTGGTCAGGGAATCCCTACTTAGAAGCCCCAAACATGGAAAGTCTTTCCATCTTCCCATTGTGATCTTTCCACAGACCTTGATAAAACCACATCTATCCAGAATTTCAATGCCTTTTCTTTGGAAAGAATGTGAGTCTTGCACCAGTTTTTGGCCAATAGTTTTTGTGGGAAGAGAATGGAAGACTGAAGGACAAGGAGCCTGGGGCCTGGGCACAGAGTCCAGCACCAACAACATTTTTCCAGTAAGTGCTTCCCCCAAGAAAGCTTCATCTATCCCTGGAGCATTCATCTATTCATTTGGTCAAGATGCATTTGTTAAGCACCTACTATGCATGGGAGTATGTGCTATCCTAGGTTCCAGGGATACAAAGTAAAAAATCCTGCTCTCTGGCATCTTATAGTCTACCAGTGGAAGCGACATGTGCACAAATAAATGAATACACAATATGTACAAAGTACAACAATGCTGCCAGGTAGGTGCTGTTATTAGGCCCATTTGAGGACACTGAGGTTAAGTGACTTGCCAAGGGTTACAGAGTTAGTAGCTGCCTGAGGCTGGATTTGAACTGGGGTCTTCCTGACTCTAGGCCCAGTGCTCTGAGCACTATGGTGCCACATAGCTGCTAAACTCTAAAAATTACCTACATCTCTCAGATATGTCATATGAGACTTTGATGCCCATGTCACCTCTAGAGTTGTTGATCAGCAAACCATTGGAACTGGGGAGGTCTGAGTTACCCCTCCCCCTACCAAAAAACCACCCAGGATTTATGTGAGCAAGGAAATTGTGGTGCAAATTTGGAGCCATTTGAACTAACTTTACACCTTGTGGATTATCTGGGATTAAGCACAAGTAGAATAGGAAAAAGTTTTAAGAATTTTGGTGAAGATCTCCTGAAAGCCCAGGGAACCTTTTAACTACTGCTTTTTATCTCCCTGCTGAAGACTTTTATTTGTCCTTATTTTCTGAACTGTATTTTAGCAGCCTGGAGAAATACTTCTACTGGAAGGCATAGGAAAACGTTGTCAGTGAAAGAACTGCTTGTTTTAACCCTGTGATCTTGAGGAATGCATTAGAAGTGCTGAGTAACTTGGACATCCACCTTTATTCAAGTCATTGATGTTAAGCAGTACATTTCCAAGCCCAAATCCCTAGAGTCCTTAGTTGATTTTGACTCATTAATTACCACTGCTTGGTTTCAGCCACTCAGTGATCTAACTCTGCTATGATTAAACCCCTGCATCCCTGTATATGGTAAGGGTGAGGAAGTGGTTGTGGAAGAATAATGCCCACTGGGCCACAGCTGTCTCACTGTTGGCTCCTCTGGGATGGTGTGGTGGGTGACTTGGTAAGTGGAAGGGAGTCAAGAGAAAAGAGGCCTTGTAGGCCCTGGACCCTGACTTTCTGGGGTGATTTGGGGTATGTGTGTTGGCACTACCTGACTCATTTTGAGTTCTGTGTTTTTCACATATTCCCACTATATTTTCTTTTTCTTCCTTTCTGATTCAATGGATTCATAGAAATGGGGAATCAAACAGGGGTCTTGGATTTTCTCCTTTTGGGTCTATCTGACCAACCAGAGCAGCAACAACTCCTCTTCAGACTGTTTCTGGGCATGGGGAACCTGCTCACCATCCTGGCAATTTGTTTTGATTCCCATCTCTACACCCCTATGTACTTCTTCCTCACCAACCTATCTTTCATTGATCTCTGTTTTACCTCCACCACAGTTCCCAAGATGCTGATAAATTATCTGTTAGGGAGTAATGCCATCTCCTATGCAGAATGCCTGGCTCAGATGTATTTCTATATTGCCTTTGGTGCTTCAGATAGCATCCTCCTCTCTTCCATGGCCTATGACCGCTACCTCGCTGTCTGTCACCCTTTACATCATGACCTCACAGTTTTGTGCCCTGTTGGTGACTGTGCCTTGGATTTCTGCTCACCTCATTTCAATGGTACATGACATATTGATAGCTCAACTATCTTTCTGTACAAATAATCAAATTCCTCACTTCTTCTGCGACATAAATGTTTTGATAAAAATCTCATGTTCTGATGCCCATGTCAATGAAATGTTTGTTCTTTTTTTGGGTGGACCAGTAGGTTTAATTCCCTTCATATGCATTGTAGTCTCCATGTGGAAGGTCCCATCAGCTCATGGGAAATTGAAGGGTTTCTCTACTTGTGGCACCCACTTGTCTGTGGCCTCTCTTTTTTATGACACTATCATTGGTGTGTATTTCAAGCCCTTCTCTATTCACACAGCCCAGAAAGACATGATAGCAACTGTGATGTATACAGTGATCACCCCTACACTGAACCCTTTCATCTATAGCCTTTGGAACAAGGACTTGAAAAGAGCCCTGGGGAAGCTTCTTGGTTTGCAATGTTTCTCCAAGGGATGATTATAGTGGAATTTGTCCCTATTCCAAAAGTACTGAATACAGTATAAAGTAAAGCTAATGTGTTGAGCTAAGATCAATGGATTGGTTTCAACATGGATGGAGGCCCCTAGTGTTGTGTCAATGGACTTTGCCATTGTTGATATTGTGTTCAATATTTATTTTAATGAAACATTTTGAAGATATAGATAGCATGCTTGTCAGATTTGTGGGTGACATAAATCTGGGAGGAATAGTTGATTTTTTAAAAATAGAATTGGAATGCAAATAAATTTCTACACATTGTAACAATGAGTCAAATCTAATAAGTTAGGCATAATTTAAATGAATTTAATAAGGGACAACTATTAAGTAGTACAATTAGAGTCATAATTTCAATGGCACATGTATCAGCTAGAAGTGAGGTTGTCAGACAGCAGCTCATATAAAAATTGACCTGGGATTTCAGTGATTTCAATATATTCCTAAGCCTTGGTAAGAATATAAAAATAAAAAAACTATTATGATCTTAAGTTTAATGAAAAGAAGCATAGGGTCTAGAATGAAGATAATCATTCTTTTGCTTTCTTCTACTATGATAATATATTAGTTCATCGTTTTCTATTCTGGTACCACATTTAAGGAAAGACATTAACAAGCCAGAATATATCCAGAGGAAGGTAGCCAGAAAGATGAGAAAACTACAAATTAGAAATTATTTCATACTTTGGATTAGTTGAATAAACCGGGGATATTTACCTTAGAAAAGGGAGGATGTTGGGTGTGTGGGATATTGAATGGACAAATGATAATCTGTAAGTGTTTGAAGGGTTGTTATATGGAGGAAAGACTAAACATTTTGTTTAAAATCAAAAGGCTGGCCAATGACCTATTGCCAATGAAGGAGAACTATAGGCAGGCAAATTTCATTTACAAAAGCTTCTTCATGACAGCAATCCAAAAGTGGAGTGGAAGATTTTAGAGATGTAAACTGCTCATCACTGGAAGCTGACAAAAGAACTTCTGGATAACCACTTGGTAGGATGCTGTAGCTGAGATAATTATGTACAGAGTAAAGTGGGTGATTTTTTTATATCCTTTCTGTCTCTGAGACAATATAACTCCGTGATTTAGCATTTAAAAACAGTATTATATTTATAACATAAGGTAAACAAGTTATTTACACTCTATATGTAATGAACATAGATATATAAGGAGAAAGATTTAAATGAAAAGAGAAACAAGCTTATCTTTCTGGCATTTCATTTACTATTTTCAATGAAGACTTAATTCTGATCTTTTATTTTAATAAAAAAATTATATTATTCCTGATTTGGGTCTTCATATGAACTTGGTATGGAAATGGACATCTTAGGTATTAGTAACTTTTAATATATTAAAGGACTTGATTAGGACCCTACCTAGTCTCCTGAATTGTCCTGCCTATTTTGTTCCATTTATGACCAAAGTCTGAAGATCCTTCCATACTCAATCCTTTTGTGCCTCAAGTAGTGGGGAAATGTCCCTTTCATGGTTAATCCACAAAACAACAAACCTTGCCCCCCCCTTAAACTCCTACTTTATGCCAATCCAAAGTTGGACAATAGATACACAAGACTAAGATGAATTAGTACCTGCCTTCAAGAAGCTTACTTTCTTGTGGAGGGAAACAATATGTTTTCATGTAATGGGAACAAACAGGTAATCCTGAACACCATTCTCCAGTTTACAGTGCCTCTGAGATCTACAGGGCAAACAGTTGTTCCGGTAGTATGACAACATTCTGCCACAACAGAACTCAGCTAGAGACCAGAGGAATAGATGGATGAGGGATAAGACATGCAAGGCTGTGTTCTATCCCATGAAGTATTAGGGAAAGAGCCTAGTATTTACCAAAAACCAGTCTTTTCCAGTCAAAGTCACAGAAGACCAAACTTGTTGAACCATGAATTGCTCAATGTTTTAGGAAGTCAAGAGTTTTTGAGATCCACTTGGGAGTGGGTCAAAAAGTGAGGAATAAGAGAAAAAGGGGAAAACAGACTCAAATGCAAGATTTCTGGAGAAAGAGAAGATAATGAAAGAAAATATGCATAAGCAAATAAACCAATATAGAAGATATTAATAATAGAAGAGATTATGGTCTCTAGATTAAATGATTTTAGCACTCTTTGAATAAATATCACCAAACAATGGAAAATGAACCATCACCTGATGAAGTAGAGGACCCTGTGGAATCCTAAAAGAGAACAGAACCATGGCATAATATCTCTGAATGCGTTAAGAGAGAACTGAGAATTGTGAAAGCAGAATTTATGGCCTACATAGCAGAAATAATTGGCTGAATAGAATAACTTTAATCTTTGGTGGCAAGTCTCACCAAAGAAATGAAAGAGAGGATAACTGATTGGAAATACAAATCTGAGCCTGACAATAAATGAAAAAAGTTAGTTGATCAATAACAAAGAAACACTCAGAAAGAAAAGCAGACCTGAAGGAATTATTTGCTTCCCAAACAGCCAGATAACAGAAATACAAGAAGCATAAGCACCATAGCAACCAAGGACAATGACAACAAGGAGCAAATAATAACTAAGATCATTAAAATATTTCTTTCTAAATGTACATAAGGAGACAAAGGTTAAAGCAGAAGTCAAATGAAAGTGGTAAATGAAAATCAGGCTTGAAACATCATGGAATAAATCACATAACAGCCCATATACTGAAGAATTCATTTTGTGTGTGTGTGTGTGTGTGTGTGTGTGTGTGTGTGTGTGTGGGTGTGGGTGTGGGTGTGGGTGTGGGTGTGTGGGTGTGGGGGTGGGTGTGTGTGTGGGGGTGGGTGGGTGTGTGGGTGTGTGTGGGGTGTGTGTGTGGGGGGGGGTGGGTGGGTGGGTGTGTGGGTGTGCGAGTGTAACTAAATTATGGAACAGGAGGTTGAACAGTGAAGGCGAAGATAGAGGGAAATAGGTGATATACCTTAATCAAGTCAAAGGCTACTAATGAAGGGAGAATAAGTCCTGTAGTCTCTCTGGAAGAAGAAATCATATGGGAGAATGGGTGAGGAGGCACTGGTAGGGATTTGACAAAGGGGAAAAGAACTGGGGAAGTTCTGTATCAGTGGTGGGAAGGGATACTACTGATGAATATTTCCATGGAGAAGAGAGATAATCTTTGAGAGGAAATGGAGACAATAAGTATAATTTTCAGGCATCCTGCATCAGAAGAAGAAGAAGCAGAGCCCCTGGGTACAACTAACATTCAGAAAAATAGAAACTCATGGACCAAGGGAGGAGATTTTGAGGCAAATGGAAAAAAATGGCTAAGGGAAAGACAAGGTCAGCAATGCACGAAACAATCAACTTACTCCCTATCACAAGCCTGAACTGGTATTTATAAAAGTCAGACGCCCAAATAAAAGGAGTCAAGGAACTATATCTGTAATGCATTAACATGTAAAGTATTTAGAAGGAACCTAAAAAAGTACCTCAAACACTTTAGTTCCATGAGGAATGAAGAAACTAAAAAAGGACTAAACAAGTATAAAGGCCATTAATCAAAGGGAAAAAAATCTGGAATAGACAAAAAGGAAGATGAATAATAAAGAAAATGAAAGAAAAAATCTCTTTTTGGAAAAAGGCATAGACAATGAAAATTTAAAACTATTGAACAAAGCAAGTTGAGACGGAAGAGAGAGGTGAAATTCTACTTGACTACTTTAAAGGGAAGAATTAAATAAATAGATAAAAGCAAGAAAGAAAAAGAAACTAATATTCAAAGCTCTAAAACAAGATAAAGACACAAAAATTAGGGAGTGAGGGTAAGGGATAAGATCTGGTGGAGATAGAGTTGAATTAAAGTAGATTGGGCTAATATAACTGAAAATACTGTCTTCTGTTTACCAAGGAAGGAGAAAATCCCAATTTAGGGGAAAAAAAGAACAGTTATAAAATGTAGGTTCTTTTCCTTTTTCTCTAATCATCTATGGAAATAGACCTAGGAGTGGTATTGCTTGGTCAAAAGGTATAGGTAGTTTAATAATTCCTTGGGCACAATTCAAGATTGCTCTCCAAAATGGTTGGATTAGTTCACAATTCCACCAACAACAAATTAGCATCCCTATTTTTGCACACCCTCTTTAATATTTGTCACTTTCACCTTCTATCATTTTATCACAACTTGTTTAACCATTCCCCAATTTATGGGCATCCCTGCAATTTCCAGTTCTTTGCCTCCACAAAGAGAGCTGCTATAAACCTTTTAGAACATATGGGTTCTTTTCCTTTTTCCCTTTTCATCTTTGGAAATAGACCTAGTAGTGACATTCATGGGTCAAAGGGTATAGGTAGTTTAATAATTCTTTTGGCATAATTCCAGATTGCTCTCAAAAAAGGTTAGATCAGTTCACAATTTCACGAACAATGAATTAGTGTCCCAATTTTTCCATACTCTCTCTAATATTTTTTGCTTTCACTTTCTATCATTTTATTCCACCTGGTAGGTATAAAATGATATCTCAAAGCTGTTTTAGTTTGCATTTCTCTAGTCCATAATGATTTAGAGTATTTTATATGACTACAAATTGTTTTTATTTCCTCAATGGAAAACTGCCTGTTCATATTTTTTAATCATTTATCAATTGGGGAATGACTCATATTCTTATAGATTTCACAAAGTTCTTCATATATTTTAGATAAGAGACCTTTATCTGATAAATTGTCTATAAATTTTTTTTTCAAAATTTTGTGCTTTTCTTCTGATCTTGACTATAATTCTTTTCTTTATACAAAATCTTTTTAATTTAATGCAATCAAAATTATCCATTTTATACCTAAATTTCCTATTGTCTTATAATTTACTCTATTCCACTTACTCTAAAGTCCAGCAACAATGGACTTCTTGCTATTCCTCCTTCATGGTACTCCATCCCCTGACTGTGGACATCTTTCATGGCTGTCCTCCATGCCTGGAATGTCCTCCAGCCTCATCTCTTCTATATTCTCTGGTTTCCTATGAGAGTCAGCTCA